TTATGAGTTATGTAACGATATTAGTTACCTAAACTTGTTTAGCAATTTTAAACATTGTTTTATTTGGCTCAAAGGTTGTTTAAAGATGAAATTCACAATGAATGAAAGTAAAAACTTAAAATCACAGTGAATGAAATTATGTAAAAGATCCTGGTCAAAATCCCGGCAAATTTGAGTGATTGACCGGGACTGGGACCGGGACCAAGAATCCTGAATTAACCGGGACCGGGACCGGGATCATAAATCAGCATTTGACCGGGACCGTGACCGCGACCGGGATGAAAAATGTGACTTGACCCGGTTGACCGGGACCGGGACCGGGATAGCTCAAAATTGCCAATCCCGGTACCGGGATTCCCGGTCACCTCCTGAGAATATTGTAATGTTTGATATAACTACATAACAGTACCTGTGTTTGCAATCATTGTTGATAAAATGATATATTGTATAAATGTACCTGTTAACATTCAGATGAACTATTATTTTGTACAGTGCAGTGTTTGACTGAATTGTCAAACACTGTTTTGGTTCATACACATGCCACACACACAGTACACAGTACACACACACACACACACCTATTGCTTATTTGTTAGTATTAACTGCACATGACTACAGCCTTTATATATAATTGAGGGATGAAGTCCTTAGTTTATCCTGAACACATTTGCTTAATTGTTGCAGCTCTTAGTACCCTAGCCACTTGATACCCTAGCTACTTAGTTTCCAAATTGGCTAGTTCTAGTCCTACAATTAGGCAAATGTTTTGAGTATCCCTAAGGTACATGCTAGACGCTGGTTGGAATATTACACGGTCCTTACCCCGTTACTGTAGGCTATCCATTATCGGTATGAAATCTTTTATCTAGATAAAACCGATAAAACCGATAGTTTTTCTGCTGAAGGCCAAAGCCAAAATGTTTTCCAAATTTCGCCAAAACTAATTGTCGACGTTTATTACTGTTTACCAGTAATCTTTCTAAAGTACCACTTCCTTTCTTTTGAAAATATTAGAGCATCAGTTTTTTTCTCCAGGGAACAGAAGTGCAGGTCAGTTTTCTTCAAAACAGTAGACCAACGGTTTTCTTCGCCGAAGAACAGTAGTGTACCAGTTCTCTTCAAAACAGTAGACCAACAGTTTCCTTCTCCTAAGAACAGTAACGCACTAGTTCTCTTCAAAACAGTAGACCACCGGTTTTCTTCTCCTGAGAACAGTAACGAAATAGTTCTCTTCAAAACAGTAGACCACTGGTTTCCTTCTCCTGAGAACAGTAGTGCACCAGTTTTCTTCAAAACAGTAGACCACTGGTTTCCTTCTCCTGAAAACAGTAGTATACTAGTTCTCTTCAAAACAGTAGACCAAGGGTTTCCTTCTCCCGAGAACAGTAGTGCACCAAATACCAATTCTCCTCGAAACAGTAAAGCATTTAAAGTAATTCAGTGAACCGTTTTCTTATCCTGTTGATAACTTGGAGCAACAGATTCCTTATCCTGAAGACAATGTTTCACGCCCAGAACACTTACGGAATTCAAATGAGTGCCCTGCCGGTATTTTTGACTCTTGTTAACAGTAACATGCTCGTTCCCGTCTCCAGAATGATTATAAGGTAAAATGCCAGCACCCTCAAGAGAACAATGTCAATAACCTTCTCTGGATTTCAACAGTTCTACAGTTCCATAGGTATACAAATGTAAATAAACCTCTTAAGCTCAGTCAGCCTGTTTAGTTTGCTTTGCAAAGTTTGTTTCTTGTCTCTATCATGGACAACTTGGGTGTTTTCTTAGTGCTTCTACTTGTGAAGAAACCAAAGGTTGAGTTCTTCTCTAACCAGTTTTACCCTTTTGAAGTAGTGAGATTAACTATAGAACGACCTAAAATGAAGCGGTTTATAACGCGTAAAAATTGTGAACGCGCCTTTGTGATATATTTAGGAAGAAATTCGGATTTGTCGGGTTAATCACAGACCTTCCATTCTACGATGTATTTCCCGCCCTAAAGAATATACTAGAAGTTCTGGGAGAGTTTTCTACATGTTTGTCAGTCACAATTGTCTTTCTGCCGAACGGAAAAAAAATTGTAAGCAATTCTTCCGCTGGCGCCTAGCAACCACGCGCAATATAACCGAGCCGCGCGCAATAATTGATATCACATTCATGTAATTAATAATTTTAGCGTATCCAAGCTTCCAAAATCGACCATAACTTGACTTCTGATGATAAATTTACTAATTCATTAATATCATTCTAGAGGTAATCGTTTAAACTTCAATTCAGTTTCAAAGTTTAGTCCGAAAGAAGGTAAATTTTGTCTAAAATCGCCACTAAAGAGAAAAATTCGGATTTGTGTATAGAAAATAAACATTTTGGCAGAACTTTCGAAGTCTTCAGCATTCTCTCTGGTATTGAACTGTTCAATTACTCAGGTTTATACAACCCCCGGAAGTACAGACAACAAAGCAGACATAATCTGGAATATCGATAACCTCTAAAGCTCTAAGAGGACCCAAAATAAAAGCAACTCCTGGAGGCTGGGATTATGAAAGATTTTCACGAATTCCACGAAACTCACGCCAGCTGCTTCACACATTGAAAATTATGAGAGGCTGGTGGATTGAAGTGTAGTCAAACAGTCTTTTTCAACAGTAAGTCAAGTTTAGCAGTTTGAGATGCACTTATAGATTTTCTTTCCCTACTGCACTCGCCACTCAAGTCTCAGATTTGATTTTACTCAACTGCAACCGTATTATTATTTAGTTCCTTTTATTAAAATCTGTTTCAGATGTCGAAGGTAATGGATAGCAGCGTCTAGAAATGCCCACTGGACAACTAAAAAGTGCTCCTTCGTTACCCTCCTTCTCCAAACACTACATGTCAATAGTCCCAACAAAAAGTTATAAAACAAGCAGTCTTGACCTTCCTTTCCCACCATGACAGGCAGAATTAATAGAGCTATCAAGTATTAGTAACTGCTATAGAGGGATTGTCGTTGAGAGAGGCACTTAAAGGCACACCAAGTTTTACAACAGATAGAAACAGAATCCTTAGCAAACTGGGCCCAGCCCAAAACGGACCAAATCAGACTGATAAAAACTGCTCATATCTGCAGCTATAGCATTAGCAGCAATTTAAAATCTATGCTATAGCTGATATACGACGACTCCGAACTGAATACTAATCGATGCATATGCAATACTGCTCACGTCTGTTACTTGTATATAAAAATAATCAGAGACAGACATTGTTATTTCTATTAAATTGTAGTATAATGATGCTTTGCGTATAGCTGCTTTGCCATTTCTAATTATGAATTTCATCCTAGAGTAAAACTTTTAATATAATTAACTAATCAATATTAACCTAACACTAGAGAAGCTTTTTGATGAAAATAGTAAACAACTTGTTTCAGTTCAAACTAAATAAAGGTCAGACCGGGATTCGAACCCTCAGCTAGCACGGTCAATCGCCCTCTTAGCCAACTAGGCTATCAAGCCGGAGGCCGAAAATCAATATTAACTATCATATTGTCGTGCTCGCGCATTCCCTACGCAAAGTTATTCTACGACGATGCACATTTTTAGCCATATTTGGGGGCTTGCGCGGCGCGAAAGCTTTAAGTTTTCATAACTCTACCCAGGAACAGTCCCCAGAACTGGTTAAGCTTGCGATGTCCGAGTTAGAGCATGTACTTTAAGAGGATGTATGATTTATCACACCTACGTCCACACAGTGGCATCGCAAATGGGTATAGTCGCGAACGCGAAGAAACCGCAGGGATTCACGATGTCAATCCTTCGCAGCTCGGTGAGGCACAGTCAACAGTGGTGCATTTCGCCGATCTACCGAATTGCGAGAAGAATTATTTGATGCGCGGCGCGACCCAGTAGTGCATCGCGCTACAAGTGAACAATTAAAATGTTTTGTTGGAAATCCAAATTTTTGATCTTTACTGGATGACGATTAATCACTTTAATACACAAGTAAGGTTATTTAACTTATTTAACGCTGATTTCAAATGTCATCTATCTTGTATCTCCGGTGGCGAAAAAATAGCGACATTTACAGTTTCCTTGAATCATTCGATCACGTAACGTATGTAAACTTTTCCCAAATCTGGTGTTCGTATAATGAGGGACTTCAATTGTTAATCTTTTTTTAGTACGCGGTGATGCTGGCTAAAGTAACCTTGTAGGTTTACAACCTACCAGGACGCGCGCCGAGTTGGACTCGTCGACGGTCCAATATATGGAACAGATATTTTACGAGTATCACCCGTTAAAAGTAACCATGCTCTATTTAAAGAATGTTTCTTAAGGAGAGGTTTTGCACCCATAATTTCAATACCTACACATGAGAGCCAAAATTTTAAATTTCGAATCATTTTTTATTGACATTTGACAACATGAACATCCTCACAAATGACCCTAGCAATTGTGTTATTTCAGGTTGTATTACAAATAGAATCGGGGATCCCCTTCTCCAACATTCGAATTCACTGACATCGAATTTTAAGTTTGGCCAAAAATGAAAAATATGTACAGTACTATGATTTCAGTAATGTTAACCTGAATAATTTCCTTACTGTACTGAATACTGACCTTTCATAGCACACCACTTCTCATGAAGTATCTGATTTTACTTAGTCATTTGATTCAACATGCAAGCTAGAAAACTCAAAATTAATAAACATATCCCTGTTAATAACCCTTGTATAACTAACAGTAAGAAAACTCACAGATGGTTAATGAGCCTAGAGGTAAGCCTAAAAAAGTATCAAACCCAGTGGTGTAATGATGCATGTTGGCCCTCTGGCCCCCCTCTTTTCTTAAAGTAGAAAGATAAAATTGGATATTTTAGTTGATACGCCTGGGAAATTCACAGAGTGTGTTTCTAGAGCAAAACTTTGCTACTACTTTAGTTGAGTTTCTCAAATTGTATTAATGATTCATTATTTATTCATTGTTAAACTACTACTTCTACTACTTTTTAAATTGTCCAGCCAATGGCAGCTAACCTACAGCGGATAACACAGAGAGTTCTTACAAGGAAGAAGTTTGATGCAATAGTTGTAGGTGGTGGTCACAATGGACTTATTGCAGTACGTGCATTGTATATCTATAAATTTCAATTTTCCCACAAGTTATTACTGTACTTAAAATCAACTTAACTCTTGTGTATAGTGAGTTGTGTTTGGTCTTACAACTTTTCAACACTGAGTGTTTGTTTTAGGCAACGTACCTTCAAAAGAGTGGTCTGGACACAGTGGTCCTTGAAAAGCGCCATTTAGTTGGTGGAGCTGCTGTTACAGAGGAGATTGTTCCAGGTAAATTAGTAGATAATTATTAGATAATAAGTAGATAATTAGAAGATAATTAGTTGATAATTAGTAGATAATTATTACTGTAGATAATTAGTAGATAATTAGTAGACAAAATTAATTGATCAAATCATATATTTTTAGCTTAAATAATGAGTAACATGGTGTTGTTCATAGTTGATGACATGGTAATTTTGATTTGTGGTAGCTCTAATTTATTCGAACCCTTTGCCAAATACCAATTAGTATTATTCTAAGTGAGTGTGTATCTGTAAATTTCTAGTCCTTGCTCCAATTAACTCTACCATTTATGTTATTATTAAAATCTCAAGATTTCGAAGATGTAGAATGAATTGCTTTAAAAGTAAAAGAAAAATGTTTTCTTTTTAGTCTTATATAATCAATAACTTCCTCTCATTTACTTTATTTCTCACTCCAGGTTACAAGTTTTCCCGTTGTTCTTACGTTCTGGCACTTCTCAGACCGGATATCATCAGAGACCTTGAACTTGTGGTACGATAATATTGTTTGATAATGTTTGATAATCTGAGTACAGATGTACTGCTGCAGGAAAATTGAAGCAGTGAAAAAATTTCATAACCTTAATTCAATTCAACCCACCAACATATGGAATTTGAGATGAAGAGCTCAAATTTCACACATTTATTACAAAGGGGGCTTTTTAAAACGTCACTCATTTCACCAGAAACATGGTCTGAAGTGGTATTACAGAGAGCACGGCTCCTTCACTCCGCTGATAGACTCTGACAGATCACTGATCATGTCATCTGATCCGGTATTCACTAAAGATCAGATCGCTCAGTTCTCTAAAAGTGATGCTCAGGTTTGAGGAATGATTGATTTTAATATATAAATGTTTTCAATTATTTCCTGTTATATATAACAGGAAAATATTTCTTACTTGAACATACATTTTACTATATATAGTAAAATGTATGTTCAAGTAAGAAATATTTTATAAATATACGTCGAAGTCTTTTTTTTTAATTAAAAAATATTAAAATTAAAAAATATGCAACCTGCCAGGACTAATGGTGCCCCTCCGGGATCTTTCTACTCGTATTTGTGAGAGTCCTCTGTCTAAGTCTTGGAATGTTGGAAGCTGGAATGAACTGTAATTTCAAGTTATTTGGAGACGATCTGAATAATCAACACATAGTCCCGAATAACAAGAAAACACGACATTTCGTTGAAATGTTCTATCTTGCTACATTCCACAGTAGAAATTAAAACTGCGCGAAGAAAAAATAAAACCAACTGTACCACGTGATGCCCACGTGATAACCATATAAGATATCTGGAGTTTAACGAATTGTCACCCAATCCATGGAATAGCTGAGAGTAATTATCTAATTGAAAAATATAGGTAATTGAATAATAGTAGCTCAACAAGTTTTGTAATCTCTTTCTGTGAATTGAAGGCATTTCTCTTTCCTTGAATTAGTTTGATGTAGTATTTAATCAGTCGTATCACCCGGATGTGTAATACGAAAGTTCCGAAACCTAAATTATCCCGCAGATTGTGTTTTAAATGGGATTTATACCAACCAAATGTTATTATTTTTACCGCTGTTTCTACGTTCGCCTCAAAGGGCCGGGTTGATTCTGCCCCATAATGACCGTATTTAATTACTCTCAAACAGCCATTTTACCGTTAAGTTCTCAAACTGAACTTTCAAATGCAAAATTTACTAGATTTATTAAAAAATAGCAGGTGCTCTAACGTCTACCTACCATTCAGTAAATAGAATAAATAATTACAGCCATAAGTTCGTCCCGTATTCCTGAGTAATTTGTTGAGAAATATAGAAATATTCCAGGTTCTTATTATATCACCTGCCAACTGTTGAGTTCTACACAGTATATTATATATAGAGTAGATATTGTATAAACCACCATTAATTCTATTCTTGTCTCACAGTCAAATGTGTGATTGAAATGCTCGTATTCCGTTGTGCACCTGGCTACTGTTATAGATAATAGAAATTTGCCGAATTTCTATTATATAGAAATCTCAATACTCATTTATATTATAGTCATAATGTCTACGTTAGATTGGATTCGTTACCGCTCCTCTCAACAAAGGGCCAGATCCTCGTTTCGGTTCCCATTGTTGTTTTACTTTTCAGTGTCTTTATTATTATTTATAGTTAGGTTTATATCAGCAGTAATTCTGGAAAGTTACTGTTCCCAATTCCGTGGTCATCTTTCTGCTAAAATATGTTCTATAATCCTTAGAACATCTGATTTATCACATTATTTATCGTTTAACTTTAAGTTGCTAAACTTTCTTCGTTTCAACCTGTATCGTATATTGGTCTGGTCTGACTGTCTCTAATTACTAATAACCCTAGTAAATAGTATAGTTGGTATAAGTACGGTATAGAGAGGTTCTACTGTATTTAATAACTTCTTAAAGTGATGGTTATGATTTAAAAATTCACTTCCGCTAAATGGCTTAATTGACCACGTACATGAAGGAGTAGAGTATGCCAATCAACATCCAGGCACTTTTAAAACTTGAAACTCGTCAGAAATCGAATTACGCCCTCTCAAACATTCAGCTGATACGTCACCGCAAGGTCCCATACCGCGGGGCAGCATTAGAGCAGGCTGTAATCCTTGCAACAATTTGTTGTTCCTACTTCCTACACAATTGATTTTTAACGTTTCTTGACCCGTTTTTGGTTTGCCCTGCAATTTTTCTAAATTAAAAACATTTGCTAATTAATTATGTTGATCACTCTTCTTTTATAGCTAAAAGTTTTGTCGATAATGGTGCCTTTCTGACATTATGCTATCATCCTGCGTTGTTGGAGGTTGTAGTCACAAGGTGGGAGACTCCTCACAAAGACCTGGGAGGGAATTTCTAATCCTACATGCCGTACCAAAAAACGGGAAGATGAGGAGGACTGAGGAGTGAGGAGGAGGATGAGGACTGAGGAGGAGGAGGACTAAGGAGGAAGATGAAGAGGAGGACTGAGAAGGAGTGGGAGGAGGAGGAGGACTAAGGAGGGCTGAGGAGGATGGCTGAGGAGGATGACTGAGGAGGAGGATTGAGCGGGAGGAGGAGGAGTAGGAAGACTGAGGAGGAGGAGGAGGAGAAGGACTGAAGAGGAGAAGGATGAGGAGGACCCAGGAGGAGGACCCAGGAGGAGGACCCAGGAGGAGGAGGAGGAGGAGGAGGAGGAGGAGGAGGAGGAGGAGGAGGAGGAGGAGGAGGAGGAGGAGGAGGAGGAGGAGGAGGAGGAGGAGGAGGAGGAGGAGGAGGAGGAGGAGGAGGAGGAGGAGGAGGAGGAGGAGGAGGAGGAGGAGGAGGAGGAGGAGGAGGAGGAGGAGGAGGAGGAGGAGGAGGAGGAGGAGGAGGAGGAGGAGGAGGAGGAGGAGGAGGAGGAGGAGGAGGAGGAGGAGGAGGAGGAGGAGGAGGAGGAGGAGGAGGAGGAGGAGGAGGAGGAGGAGGAGGAGGAGGAGGAGGAGGAGGAGGAGGAGGAGGAGGAGGAGGAGGAGGAGGAGGAGGAGGAGGAGGAGGAGGAGGAGGAGGAGGAGGAGGAGGAGGAGGAGGAGGAGGAGGAGGAGGAGGAGGAGGAGGAGGAGGAGGAGGAGGAGGAGGAGGAGGAGGAGGAGGAGGAGGAGGAGGAGGAGGAGGAGGAGGAGGAGGAGGAGGAGGAGGAGGAGGAGGAGGAGGAGGAGGAGGAGGAGGAGGAGGAGGAGGAGGAGGAGGAGGAGGAGGAGGAGGAGGAGGAGGAGGAGGAAGCATCTAAATGTTATTTCAATTTTGTTATTTTTTGTCCGTTTTTGTCCGTTTTTGTCCGCTCTATTTTTTGTCCGTTTTGAAAATATAGGGTACCGAACGGACAAAAAACATGAGCTCCCCCCCATAACAATAGTTAACTCATGCATATCAACCATTATAATGCGGAAATATGCGTGATTAACTCTCATTTTATGGGGCTAAACACTAATAAAACAATGGACCGACCCGCACTCGAGCCTCTGTAGAACTTGTCGTGACGTAACAGAGTGATACTCTAAATGGAATTGCGAGGATCAGGGAGTAAATCTGGGAGTGTAACTTTGCGTACGTGTTTAAAATGATGTTGTCTACCTATCAAGCATGAATTTAAGTAAAATAATTGCTAAAACCAAATCATAACCATCACTTTAAACTTGAACAGTCTCAAAGTTTGTTTGCTTAAACTCTTAAACAGAATATACGTGGGTTATAGAAGGGTGGAGTAATATACCCCCCTCTTTATTACCTCTATATTACCTCTATATTACCTCTATATTACCTCTATATTACCTCTATATTACCTCTATATTACCTCTATATTACCTCTATATTACCTCTATATTACCTCTACATTTACTACAATATGCTATCCAGTAGTCCCCCTTCCATCGTTTTTTAAATTGAGATTATTTTATAATATACCAGGGTATCAACCGAATTCGTGTCCGTCCGCCCGTACGAATATCATGGTACGAATATCATTGTACATGTTGCACACGTTGTTCCTGACGTTGCGATGGTAACATTCGCAAAGTTATTTTACGTGACTTCCAGGACTAAGCAGGACGAAAGATCGCTAATTAGAACTTGCATATAGAACTGAGAAATGAAAATGAAAAAAAAAAGTAAGAAACGCTGTTGATCGGCCGCCGCAAAAGAAACGCAGCCTCTTGTTAACCATGTAATGGATCTCTTCATCTTAAGACATAAGTAATCTTTAAGTTCTTGTGTTTGGTCTATTCTTAAGACGCACACAGTAGGAGTCGGTAGATAATGGTTTTAATTGTGTTTATTAATATTACAGTAGTTAGTCCTAGTATTGTCTTCTTTACCCGTACTCACATGGTAACCACTACGAGCATGTTGTCATTACCGCTAATTTACAATCTCTAGTATGTGACATTTTATAATCGCCAGTACAGGAGGTCAGTATTGAGTATTTAACATCAATAGGATGTCGTTAGCCACTACAAGCTCATGCTCTGCTTGAATTTGTCTGAGGTCACAAGATATTTCCTTGTGTTTGTCTAGTTGAGCTGCTTGTACGTGATTTGTCAACATGGATGCCAGTCGTTTTCTGTCAGTTTCTGCCTTTTAGCGATTTTCATAACTCTTGACATGGGTATTAGCAGGGTGTACTAGTACTACTAGTATTACTAATGTAGCTCAAACGCTACACTTTATAAATTGAGCGAGTGATTAAGATATTAATATTACAGGTATTCAGCACCCTTCACACAACTATTTGCAAATTAAGCTTATTCGGATCTTAAAACTAAAATTGTTTGTTTATCTTGGTAAAGCTGGGTACTAACTAACATTATATTATACACTATTCACTAATAATATAACTCAGCTTTCAGTTATATAAGCGTGTTTCCTGTAAAGTAGTAACCACCTCATACGAAATCTAACTAGAAAACTAAATATATAATAATTACATTCAGATAAACAAAATATTAAATATATGTAGTAATTGTATAGAGTAAGTTCAGACTGAGCTGAGATATTTGTTTATGCGGGAGTAGTTACGGTGATTACTAATTAGTTACAGTAATTAGTTACAGTAATCAGTACAGTAATCAGTAACTGTAATTAGTTACAGTAATTAGTTACAGTTGTTATTAATTACTTAAAGTAATTAGTTACAGTAATTACTTACACTAATCAGTAATTAGTTACAGTAATTAGTTACAGTAATTAGTTACAGTAATTAGTTACAGTAATTAGTTACAGTAATTACTTACAGTAATTAGTTACAGTAATTACTTACAGTAATTAGTTACCGTAATTAGTTACAGTGATTAATT